AGTCCTGTGAAGAGACTTTTTGATGAACAGATATACTTTAGGCTTTTATTCACATATTAACATTGATCAACATAAATAAATAGAGCACATCAAATATGGTAAATGCAAGCTCAGATCATGTCATACAAGCATGTTTGAGCTTTCATTTATCATGTTTGATGTGCTCTATGTATGTGTTGTTCAGTGTATAAAAGCCTAAATGAAATCTCTTCATCATATAAAGTGATCATGTCTCTAGAAGACTAGGATTAAACTGCTTATTTCTTTTACAATGTCTTCATGAGCTTTTAAAATGTCTAAAGTTTTGGGAGAACAGACTTTCAATAGAGCGACAAAAATCTCTTAGGTTTCATTAAAAATATTTTTATTTGTGTTTTCGAAGATGAACGAGAAAGTCTTACAGATCTGTAACGACATGAGGGTGAGTAAATGATGAAAGAATTTATTTTTTTTGAGTGAACTATCCCTTTAAATAAACGCTAACCATTTTATTACGATTTGCCAAAGCTTGCTATACCACTGTCATAATTTATTAAATCATTATAAAATACATATATATGTAGACTATTTATATTTATTGACTAATATGCAGCTTACTTTTAACAATGAGACCGCAAATGAATAAGTCTCATTTTTTATATTTTAGTTTTTATTTTTGTAAATCATACAGTGCTGTCACGGTTTTAAATAATAGTGGTCTTCATTTCAATTACATTTGTCCTGCTTTGTACTGCTCACATTTTTGACATTGAAGTACTTTTTTGTACCATGAACCCACCTGTTTGATCAAATGAAGAGTGCAGTGTGATTTTTTTTCTTTCTTTTTCAGTATACAGTAAAGAGAGAGTGAGAGATGCTGCTTTTCACAAAACACATACTGCACTGTTTTTCTGTTGATCTGAACTCGAAAAACAACGTTGTTTACTGAGCATGCAGAAAATGTGTAAAAGTAACTGACTCCCACCGACGTAGGACCAGACCTCTAGAATCTAGAGAGCAGCATTTCTCTTCCCCCTTCAGCAGCAGCAGCAGCCGCAGCGTCTGTGAATGACTCCACTCCGCTCGGAGGACAGCGAAGCACACTGTTTCTGAAATCACTGACACATTAAAGCATCTGCCTCCGAGAGATTCAACCCTAACGTGTCGTACTGTTGGTGCTGTATGCCGTCTTTGCAGTAGTATTAAATGGCACTTTGATTTACTGGGTTTCAAATAAAAGTGGCATTGTCTACAGAAAGCAGTTGTCTTTTTTTTTTTATCATTTCTTGTGTGTGAATTACACTGATTAGATTAAAAAAGACCAGATTATTCTGTAATGTACAATTGGACTTTCCGTAATCGTTAAAAAAGTTTATTTTCCTCACTAAAGCTTGGCATTTTCAAAACTTAATTTGCTGTCTGTATAAGTGTACGCTTGCGTAAGCGTTATTATCTCTAACGGTTATTCATCCTCATACTCGTTGGCATGACAACATTCATCACCTGGTGGGTTTTCATCTTGTTAACCGCAACTGTCCCACGACACACAGCTTCAACAAGACAGAGTAAACAATCATCAGAGCATCAAACATTTGATAATACATCTGAATTCAAGTCCCGCCGCCAAACATAATCCAAAATGTTTGTGTTTCCATAAGATTAGGATCATTGAACAGTGGGGCATTGTCAGCATTGCCCGTTGCTGTGCCAAGCTCTGCGTTCGGTTTTCTTCAACACAAGGCCATTGTTCATTTCCATGCCTTTTCTCTCAGAAACGAACAGGGAGGGGAAGAGACGACGGGTACTAACCTGTTTTCATACAGTCTATGGTACTAACAGATAATAGGCACGTGACCCAGACAGTGACGTCAGCCGCTGCCAGATCTCAACACTGGAATGTTACTGTGATGCACTGATCCTGCATTCTCTCAAACCTTTCGATCAGCTAGAATAAATGAACCCCTTTTGTGTGAATGTATTTATTTTAGAGTGTTTTAATATTATTCTACAAGTCAAATCGACTCCTTTCAGGCTTGAAATCCAAATAAGAGTGTATTCGATTTTAAGTTTTTTAGATTATGTGGAGATAATATCGAGTGTTTTTGTCACACTGTACACTCTTAAAAATAAAGGTGCTTCACGATGCCATAGAAGAACCTTTTTGTCTAAATGGTTCCATAAAGAACCTTTAAAATCTGAAAAACCTCTCTGTTTCACAAAAGGTTCTTTGTGGCGAAAGAAGGTTCTTCAGATTACAAAAAGGTAAGAAAGAGATGGTTCTTTAAAGAACCTTTGACTGAATGGTTCTTTGTGGAACCAAAAATGGTTCTTCTATGGCATCGCTTGAAGAACCTTTTGAAGCACCTTTATTTTTAAGAGTGTATTGCACATAAGATGTGCCAGGGTTTTTATAGTTAAGCATAAAAAACTTTTTTTTTTTTTTAAATAAACATTAAATAAATATTATAAAAAACTTAAACTTATTTTATTTCAGCTAGCTGCAAAGGAAGCATCCAAGTTTCATTTAAACTTGATGTAGTAAAATAACTAAAACTAAAAACTAAATAGACATTAAAAAACAAAAAAAGTAAAAATCACTAAAGCTTTAAAATTAAAACGAGAACAAAAAAAATCAATAAAAATAAAAAAACAATCCAAAACATTAATATAATATATAATCTATAATAGAGGTCTCAACAAAACTAAAATAACACTGACAAGTAACAAACTATATAATATTTGGCATATGTCCTTTTGGTCCCACTTTATATTAGGTGTCTCTTAATACTATGTACCTAATAATAAAATAAAAAATTGATAGGTACAATGTACCGATTTTGTTCATGTTGAATTGCAAACACTTTTGCTGCTATTGAGGTGGGATACAGGAAAGATTAGGGGCAGGTTTGGTTAGGTTCAAGCGGTGGAGGTAGGGTCAACAGTGTAATTATAGATGTAACTACAGAAATGAATTACAGTTGTAATTGCAGGATGGTGTTTTCAAATAAGTACAATGTAAAAACATGTATGTACACAATAAGTGCATTGTATCAATTAATTAATTTAGGCCTACACACCGTATTTAAGGGCGCCTGATATAAAGTGGGTCCCTACATTTTATTGCTTTTATCTGTATTCTCATATTTGAGGTTCATTAGAACCTTAGAGTCAGCTGGCTCAGTGAAAGGCAAAAACTGGTTGATGTTTCCCATTAACATATTTTTTTATTAGTGATTATCAGGTTTACCTTTCTACAACATATTTGTAGACACTCATTTAGAGAGCTTAAAGAAAGATACAGAGGATCGCACATAAAAAAAGAGAAAAAATTAAAGCAAAGGTAAATATGAAAAATTAAAAATAAATCCAAAATACACATCATTTTTATTAACAACACTGCACACTGGAAATGAGAGCGCGGTCTGGTTATATGTGCCTTTCAGTACAATTGAGACAATTATCATTTAAATATATGTTTAAAATAGTACTTTATTTAATATAACTATGAACTATTACATACAAGTTCAAACTTAAGATCACATGCATTAAACAGCTAGGCTCAATGGAATGCTAAAGTTTGATGCTATTAAGATGGCAAACTCAACATTGCAACTAAGGGATGTTTTGCACAGCACATCATGACTATTTTATTTTTTAAATCTTTTGAAACATTTAGTCTTCATCTTCAAAAAAGAAAGAAAGCAAGAAAGTAAATATAATCACACGGACACTTACAAATCTTGAATATAAAATGTGATCAGTGATCTAGTCACTTGATCTGGCAGTCTGCAGTCTGGTACGTGTTTGTGTTTGTTCATTTCTGTGGTACTGCGGAGTCACATCTGGGATTCACCATGTCAGCAGCACAGCCAAATAACCAGTAGCTCAAAAGTTACAGCACCTTAAAAACATTAGAGGCAAATATTAAATGTGAATCCTCATACATTGCTCCTCAGAGAAATATAAAGGATTATGCTGAACCATATTCTGCCCTGTTGTAAATACGGCTTAGCAAATCTCTGGACTTTTCTCTAGAGATGAAGGTCAACAATCAAATCTTACAGACCAATGAACAAGACTATGAAACAGAAATTAAATCATCTTGTGAAAAGCATGAAGATTATAGATACATTTAGACTCAAATGCAACTGAAAAAAAGTTCATTTTCATTTATAACCGTTAAGCCAAGCGCCTAAAAGCATAGCAGTACTCAAATGCATGTTCAACCTTATGGTAATATACATGCAATGCATACAGTACTTTTCTATTCATCAGACGATGGTACACAATCATCATCCTGCTCTGTGACAAGAGCTTAAACCAGCACTATCATTCATTTTAAGCCTTACATGTTACACTGCTGACAATACACAAAGAACAATTTCATGACAGCATGTTTTCTACTATCCATTACTGCAAATTCTGACTAAACAGACTGAAGTATATTAAATGTGAATCCTCATACATTGCTCCTCAGAGAAATATAAAGGATTATGCTGAACCATATTCTGCCCTGTTGTAAATACGGCTTAGCAAATCTCTGGACTTTTCTCTAGAGATGAAGGTCAACAATCAAATCTTACAGACCAATGAACAAGACTATGAAACAGAAATTAAATCATCTTGTGAAAAGCATGAAGATTATAGATACATTTAGACTCAAATGCAACTGAAAAAAAGTTCATTTTCATTTATAACCGTTAAGCCAAGCACCTAAAAGCATAGCAGTACTCAAATGCATGTTCAACCTTATGGTAATATACATGCAATGCATACAGTACTTTTACAGAGTTTTCTATTCATCAGACGATGGTACACAATCATCATCCTGCTCTGTGACAAGAGCTTAAAACAGCACTATCATTCATTTTAAGCCTTACATGTTACACTGCTGACAATACACAAATAACAATTTCATGACAGCATGTTTTCTACTATCCATTACTGCAAATTCTGACTAAACAGACTGAAGTAGTCAACTTGCTTTGTGTCTTTGAATCAGTGGTCAAGAATTCACTTTTATATTTCAAAATGTAATCTATATCCTCATCGTATATTGACTGGAAAATAAGAGCTCTTGCAAGTTAAGATTAAGGTTTAAGTTCCATATAAAAGCCAAAATGTGCTTTGAACAACTTAAAACACACTATAACATTTTTGGAATAGGTTGAAGTGCAGTATCCATGGTGCAGTATCTTTCATGTAACCCTACACAAAAACAGAGAAATGACTTCCATACATAGATTATTCACTGAACACCATGCACTTCTATTGCCGGAAACTTTGGCTTACATATGTATTCTCAGTCATCCTTTCTTTCCATTCCTTTACAGTAAGCAAATTTGTCCTATATACATTTTATAACCAATAGAAATCAAGGCGAAATCATTACAAGGTGCTAATGAATCTAATGGATTTTCTCCCAAACTGAATCAAATCAGTAATAAAACACATCTGAACTTCATAAGCACTAAAAATAATAATACACTCTGAGAACATACACTTTATACATCATTTAATGACAAAACATGATTTGATTCCACTCTTATTCAGCGTTGACAATAAACGTACCATCTAAACATCAGTTTTCAGAATCAGTTTAAAAACTGAATTTTGTCCTGATCTAGTAGCAATATATTATTTTTGTTATTATCACTTTTAACATTGTTGTTGATGCCATCATTCCACTATACAAATTGAAAGCATTAATCTCTGAGTTGGGAATGTAAAGTAATTTGTGCATAACACCATCTCCAGCTTATGTATCTTAATTGCTAGAATTGTTAAAATCTTATTTGTTTACTAAATTCCAATTTCTGAAATACTAGCACCCAGGTATTTGTTAATCTCTCTGCTGAGGTATATAGCCTCAATTGCTATTTGCACAGTAGCTATCTGAATGTGTGACAACTTGATTAATAGATGATTATTGTATATATAGTGAGTGTATGTGTGAAGCAATGAAAGAGGATCTTGCAGGATGTGTAACTCAGGGTCTCAAAGCAACAGTGCCACTGATGAACTAATCAGGAGAATCTCATCTAGTTTAGCTGCAGTATTAGGGAATTTCTGGTGTTTTTGTTCAAAAGTAAGTGAAGAGGTATACTTGTGCTTTAGATGCCATTGTAAACAAGGCTATATAGATTAACTTTGTTATTGTATTTAGCACATTCATTTGGTAACCTTGTTCAGTATAAAATTACAACTGGGAATGTAACCATGAAAACTAGTTCAAACAGGCCCTGGACCAAAATCTAAGGGTTAATAATTTTAGAGACCCATTTACTGCATGTACGTGTGTATGTATATATTGTACAATGTAAAGGGAAAGGCCACCCTGAAAAGTATATAGTGAAAGGCACGTCTTCCTTCGGTTCTCCTGCACTCTAGTAACTTTCATTACCAAGAAATAATAATCAAAGTTCATACCATTTGACTGGGTTTTTTGGGCAATAGACATTATGTGTGGGAAGTTAAAAAGCAAAAGGTTAAGAATTTTACACTGAGTAAACTACAATTAAGGCTGTAACGGACCATTTGAGAGTAAAGATGTGAACCTGGGAGCCATGTTGAATTTAGAACTCTATTTTGCAGGCTGGGAATGACTCGTCTTGCATCACAACAGTGCTGCTGCTGGCCAGGACCATGATGTTCAGCTCCTGTTGCTTCTCATGGGTCTGCTGATACCATTCGCGGGTCACTTCTGTGTCATGAGTAGGTATCAATGTTACCTACAAATAGGACAGGGTAAGACATTAATAGTATAGCATAATGGCTGACTTGAACTGTTTTGAATCACTTCAGTTCTCCATTGGAGTTGACACTGACTGCAAATAAATTAACCAAAATATTAATATGCATAGCATCCATAAAATATCCATCAAATTACAAAGTTCCAATGTTGACATCTACCACACAGAGAGCAATTAACGAATATTATACCAGGGTTTCCAGACATGAACAAGTTAAATGTAAGACTTTTAAAGACCTTTTTAATACCACCTTATATGAAATTTAAGACCTAAACCTGTAATGAAATACACATTTTATTACATACATATATGTAATATTTAATGTACATATTTACCTTTACAAAGGCCTATTTTAACCTTTTTAGATGTATGCATCATCTTACATGTCAAATTATTACAATTTATCAATAAATTCAATATACACTATAGGGCTGCTACCAGTCA